TTTTAGTTCAGAATGATTGAAAGTTTATTTCTTTTCCAATTCCCTGAGAAATTTTGTACAAACTGGAACAATCTGTCCCCTAACAGTTTGGTAGACCTCGTATAAATAGTTTGGGTTTAGTGTTTTAGGAATTTAATTCATCTAAGTTGCAAATTAATTGACATAAAGTTAATGTTAGTATCTAATATTTTTAATTTTCCTATACCATTGTATGTATTCCTTTTTGCTTACATAAAGGACTTATTTGGACTTTCTGTCTTTTTCACTTTTTAATTGAATTTCACCAAAGGTTTGTCTAACTTATTCATCTAGTCAAAGAATCTGTTTTGGACTTCGTTGATTCTCTTAATTTTTTTTGCTTCCTATTTCTTTTATTTCTCCCTTAACTTTATTATCTCCTTCCTTTACTTACTTCAGTTTATCCTATCGCTCTTTTTTTGCTTCTTATGATGGACATTTAGCTTATTTTCAGTCTTTCTGATTTTCTATTATAAAGTAGTTGAGGCTGTAAATTTCTCACAGTCCCAGTTTTATACCATCCACAAGTTTTGATATGTTGTTTTTTTCATTATCCATCATTTATAAATATTTTTCAATTCCCAGTAGGATTTCCTCCCTGACTTCCAAGGTAGTCACAGTTTTTTTTAACTTAAAAATAAACTTTGAAAGTACATATTCCATATTCATGGATTGGAAGACTAAGTATTATTCAGATGTCAGTTCTTCCCAACTTGAGCTATAGATTCAACACAGTCTGAATCCAATGCACAGCAAGATGTTCTGCAGGTGGAGCCGTGGAACAGAAGAGAGGGCCCAGAAATAGACCCATATAAATACAGTCAGCTTCTCAAAGCAAAAAAGGTAATTAAGTGGAGAAGGGTTGCCATTCTCAACAATGGTGCCAGAACAGCTGAAGGTCCGTGTGTAAAAATATACATATATTCATCGAAACATAGATCTTACACCTTTTACAAAAATTAATTCAAAGTGGCTCAAGCCTAAATGTAAAACAAAAAAACAATAAAACTTCTGGAAGAAAACATAGGAGAAAGACTATGTGACCTTGGATTTAGCAATGAAATTTTAGAGACAACACCAAAAGCAAAATCTATGAAAGATGTTGGAGTTTATTAAAATCAAAAACTTCGACTCTGCCAAAGATGCTGTTAATAGAATAAAAAGGCAAGCCAGGGGTGTAGAAACTATTTGCAACACACAGATCTGGTAAGGCTTGTGAAATATACAAAGCAACTCAAAACTCAACAGTAAGAATGAAAACGTCCCAATTAAGAAACAGGCAAAAGATCTGAGGGGGAATTTACCGAAGAAGGTGCGCAGATGGCAACTACCACATGAATAGAGGCTCCCCTTATTTGTCACGAGGGAACTGCAATTTGAAAGAATGAAAAATACATGTGATAATACATCTATTAGAATGGCTAAAGTCCATTCAACTGAAATGCCACTTGCTGCCGAGGGTGCAGGGCAAGAACTACTTTCACTCATGGCTGGTGGGAGTGCAAAACGGTACAGCCACTTGGGAAGACAGTCTGGCAGTTTCCTACAAAGCTAAACATAGTTTCACCATATGATCCAGCATTTGCATGCCTAGGTATTTACTCAACCAATTTGAAAGCTATGTCCACACAAAAACCTGCGTGCCAATGTTTATAGCAGCTTTATTCACAATTGCCAAATTCTGGAAGCAACCAAGATGTCCTCCAGTAGGTGAGTGGATAAGTCAGCTGTGGTGTGGATACAGTAGAGTGTTATTCAGTGATTCAAAAAAAGCTGAGAAGCCAGTAAAAGATACGGATGACCTATAGGTGCAGACTGCTAAGAGAAAGATGCCAATCTGAAGAGGCTATCCACACTGTGACTCCAGCTATATAGCATTCTGGAAAAGTCAAGATACACAGTAAAAAGACCAGTGCTTTCCAGGGGTTTGAGAGGAGAGAGAAAGGTTTTAATAGGTGGAGCACAGGAGCTTTTTTAGGGCAGTGAAAAGTCTGTATTAAACTCTACCAGTGGCTACATGACCTCTATACATTTGCCAAAACCCATAGGGCTTTATGGCGCAAAGAGGGAACCTTAACATAAACAGGTCTTTTAAAAGTCATTTAGGGGATCGAGGGGTCCCAGGGTGGAATGAAGACTATTACAAATGGATGAAGACTATACAAGAATCTTAAACCAATATTTAGCTGTTAGTGACTTCTAATCTTACTGCATTTAACAGGTCTCTAGGACGACTATCCTTTGAAATTTGTTGAGACTTGCTTTATTGCATAGTACATGGTGAAGTTTTGCACATGCTCCAGGTCAGTTTGAGAAAAATGTGTATTCTCTAGTTGCTAGATGCAGAACTTTATAAATGGCCATTAGCTAAAACTAGTTAATTGTGTTATTCAAATAATCTATATCTTTGCTGTTTTTGTATATTTGACCCCTTGAAAAAGATGCACTGGACTTTTTCATTTTGACATTGGAGTTGTCAATTTCTCCAATTAATCATACCCATTACTGCTTTATATGTTTGAAGACATTAGGTTCTTATATATTTAAAATGAATATTTTTGGTGTATTGAACTATCATCTTTAGATAATGAGTCTCTATATTCCAAACGATGGTTCATCTTTGTTATTTTGTTTGGTACAGCTAAGTCAGCTTTCTTTTGATTACTGTTCACCTTATCAACAGTTTCCACCCTTTTACTCTCAGCCTTTTCACATCTTTAATGCTCTAAGTGGGCTGTCTTACAGAGTGGTCGAATGTCATCTAAATCAAAACACTTACGAGAGGGGAAATAGATGCTATGAATCACACCACCAGCACAGCAGACATTGGGTATATGTTCTGAGAAAACTAGGAAATATTGGTCAGCCCCTTTAGAAAGAGCATATTAATTTGATTTTTAAAAAATTCAATCCAACCATCTAACTAGTGATCATACACTTTTTCTCATTTCCACAATCCCAATTATTGCAATCCACATTTTCCATGTTTCTTTTTTTCAGCTCTTTCCTTGACTTCTCTGGGTGAGGGTTTTTTTGTTTTTCCCCCTCATCCACCTTTCCCACCACTGCTTCCCAGCTCCATTGGGGCAGTGAGGGCAGTGATTCTCCTTGATGCCTTATCATGCCCGTGAAACTTGGCACTCTGAGTTTCCCTCTCCTATACCCCCAACAGTAGAAAGATTTTAGGATTCTTTGTCTCTGATCATCTACCTCCTGACCTGTGTTACCGTTGTCCATCATTTTACCTTTTCTCTTTAACTCCATAATTGGACAGAATTTTTATTATTTGGTACAATCCATAAATATTTGGATTTGCTTCTGTGTTTGCTATTTTGATTGCTCCTTACTGCCTCACAGGCTGTCTCCTGAGAGGATGTTCCTCCTTACCCATTATAAATCCATTACATCAGGTCTCTTGCATGTATATGCCTTCATTTTTTATTGTAACTGTCTTTATTTTATCTTAGTTCTTGGCAGGAAATTTTTCTGGTAAACAATTCTAAGTTGGCTGTAATTTTCTATTAACATTTGGTAGATGTTTTTCACTCTCTCCTGGTTTTCCTTGCTGCCTATCAACTTTTGCCTCTTGGCAGAAGAATGTGGTCACTGCTCATTGTCAGCAGTCTGTCCTCTCTCTTGATGTTCTTGAAGATCTTGCCTTTGTTTCTGGTGTTCTGCAGCTTATTTACAATGTTTCTCGCTGTGGCCCTTTTTCCCTTACCCTCTTGGGAAATGAAGTTTCCTGAACCTAAGAACTTGTGTTTTCCAAGTTTTAGAAAATGTATTGCTTTCATCTTTTTTTTTTTTTTGCTTTTGTCTTTTTTATGATCGCTTCTCTGTTTCTTCTACGGGACCTCTGAACAGATGCATGTTAAATCTTCTATTCTCCAAGGGTCTGCTTCTTGGTCACGTGTCAGCTGTGTATTCCTGTTAACTAATTCTTGTGTTGGATCTGCTTAGCCTTCCTTTCAGGGTTTCTATTTTGACAAATTATTCTGTTATAAACTGTTATTCAAGTTCTTATTTTTAGAAGTTCAGTGTCTTCCTCCAACTGTGTCTGCTTATTGCCAACTCTTGTAAGTTCGCCTCAGTAATTATGACGTTGATTTCCCTAAAAAGTTTGTGGAATAGCTACCTTTGTTCTGTCTGACAGGCCCAGCCTCTGCAGTCAGATCTGCCATTTCCTGTTTCTGTTGACTCTCAGAACGGATTGCCTCCTCATGTGACTGATAGTCTTTATTTTGAGCCCTTTGCTTGATCTTAATCTGTGAGAGTCTGGCAGGCCTAACTTGGACAAGTTTTCCTTCAGATGAGTCTTGCTTCTGCTGGTAGCCAAAGAGTACCCCAACCTAGGACTTCAGCCTTGCTGAGGATTTCTGCTCAAAGCAGTTTTAAGATTAGTTTCCCTTCCTTGCTGCTGTTCCAACATAATATCCTTACAACGGGTTGCCTTACTAGTGCCTCTTACCCACCTTTCCAGTTTGGCTCTATGCTGCTGTGTGTCACCTACTGCTTTAGTTCTGCACTGTACCAGGCCTGGCTCCCTACCTCTGTGGCCAGCACCTGCAGCCACTTACCTTGGCCTTGGTTTCCTGACCACGCCTGATCTAGATTTTTTGGTTTGCTTGTTTGTTTTTGAAGGATTGGTCCCTGGGGGTCTCTCCTACCTTTTGCAAGACTGGTAGTGCATCAGTATGTATGTTAAACAAAGCTTCAGTATCGGGAAGTTATAGGAGAGAGAGCTTCTCAGAACGTAGTCATTCCTAACAGCAGAAACATAGCATTTTCTAAAACATCAAAAAACCTTAAATGCACTAAAATGAAGGATGGGACAGATTATGTTATCTAAGAAACTTCATAAGCAAAGAAGGGGCAGAGAACATAGAGGTTGGTGTCCTAACTGTTGCAAGCCAGAGAGGCCAATTTCTGATGTCTGGAAAGTGGTGTCAGTGGAGGCCGAGCTGCACCCTTTCTTTGAACAGATGGAAAGGGGAAACAACCTCAAAGCTAAGCTCAAACCCTTGCATCCTTCCAAGATCTTGAACCAAAATAAGGAGGCAAAATGCCTCCAGTCCTGATCGCTGGAGATGCTGCTACCCAGATTGCGGGCCATGGAGGCGAGCAGGATGACAAGTTCACCAACATCCTGGATGCAGTGGGAGAGTTCAGCGCGTTCCAGCAGAGGCTGGTGGCCCTCACCTTCATCCCCATTGTCCTGTCAGCCTTCTTCTTCATGTTTGCTGATGTCTTCGTGTTCACAGCCCAGAAGCCCTATTGCAACACCAGCTGGATCCTGGCTGTGGGCCCCAACTTGTCTGTGGCCTTGCAGCTGAATCTCACCCTGCCTAGGGATCCCAACAGCAGTTTCCTGACGTGCCTCATGTACTTGCCTGTGGACTGGGATCTGGATCATATCATCCAGTTTGGCCTCAACTATGCAAACTTGTGCCAAGACAGGTGGATCTACCCTGAGACCAAGAAGCAGTGACTGGTCAGTGAGATGGGTCCTGTCCTGAGTTGTCTATAGCTCCCTATGGGCCCAGAGATGTCCCTTTACCTTGACTGAACAGGTGGGGAAACTGAGGCTCAGAGCAGAGGAGCAATTTAATTGTCCCAAGGCCACCCAGCAGGGGCAGGGCCAGGGCAAAAACTCAGGACTCCTGCTGCCCCGCCCTGGCCTTGACTGTCTTTAGTCAGAAGCTAGAGTGGATCTGGGACTGGGGGCAGGTGGCAGCTGGCAGCATTTGCCATCTGTCCAGGGGATTGCTTCTGTAATCATGGCTCTGCCCTTCAAACTCACAGAAGACAGGGAATCAGGGGAAGAAGCAGCTTTGATCAGGTACCTCTTACGGGCCGTAGCTGTGGCCTGGGCCCTTCACAGCAGAGCTGCACAGTCCAAATCCCTAGGCAGAGACCCTGCATCTGAAGGGTCTTCAGCGATCCAGCCTTGCTGTTACCCGACCACCTGCCCCACCTTGGGCTGTGCTTCTGGCCCCTCTCTCCAGGCCTCACTCACAGAGGCAGCCAGGTGTGGGATGGGATGCAGGAGAAACACAGCAGAGGCCTGCTGCACACACTTACCTGCCCCTGTGCTGGGCCCCTCCTGCCTGAAGGCCTGCATGGTTGGTGGGGGGAGGCTTGGTCTTGGCCAGAAGGCTTACCTGGCAGAGGCCTGTGGCCAAGGTGCATGTAACCCTCAGTTTGACCTGGTGTGTGGCAAGGAACTGAATACAGAAGCTGTGCAGACCATGTTCATGGTGGGCCTCCTGATAGGGTCCCTTATCTTCGGGTTCCTAAGTGACAAGTGAGTCTCCCCAAGTTCCCACTGATCCCCAGACTTCCCTCCTCCTGTTTGTGGGCGTTCAGGGAGGAGAGTCTCAGTCTTGGGGAGGTGAGGGTATGGGAACCCAGGAGGCCCATGGATGGCTCAGAACCCGGCCCCAGGCTGGGGCACGTGGCATAGCCTCCCTGACTGCCCACAGGCTGGGCCGCCACCCCACCATCTTCCTGTCTCTGCTAGGCCTGACCATCTTCGGCTTTGGGACAGCCTTTGTCAGCAGCTTCCACCAGTAGCTTCCACTTCAGTGTGTCCCAGGCAGTGGTGGGCTACATCATCATCAGCCTGTCTCTAGGTGAGGTCAGGCCATGAGGCCTGGGGTAGGCAGTGAGCATGCCCCTGGGAGCCTGCAAGACGGGCTGTGGCCCAACTGGGGAGGTTGGGGAAAGACCTTTGCCCAGCCTGGAGTGCAGACAGCCTGGGCCTGGGCAGCCGTGCAGCCTCCCTCTCCATCTTTGCCCCTCACATTCCACTTACCCTGCGTACCCGCATGGCCTCCCCTCACCAAGCCCCTGAGAAAGAGTAGGTGCTGCGAGGCCTGTATGTGCGGTGTCTCATCTCATCACCGCACCCTTCGGAAGCACAATTCTGATGTCCCTCAGCTGAGGAGGTCTCTGGGACCTCAAGAAGTTGACCAGCCTGCTCAGGGTTACATGGCAGTTAAGCAGGCCCAAGTGACGTGAGAGTCCCAGGTGCCCACCTGACTGCTCGGCCCCACAGCAGCCCCCACCTGGTGTGCTCACGGGAGCGGGTGGGAGTCTCCACAGAGCCCTGCATCTGGGTGGCCAGGCCCTGAAGCACCAAGACCAAAGCGATTCCTGGCCCCCGTGTGTCAGGCCATGTGCCCAGAATCGGGCCTTCACCAGGATCAGGCAGGAGGCTCTGGGAGGGAGCAACCAGCTTGAGAAGGGGCAGGAGGCCACGTATGGGACTGGGAGGTCAGGCAAGGGCCAAGCACAGTGGGCCAGGCACACCACCTTGCTTTGAAGGGCTGCCTTGGGCCCTAGAACAGGCCACGAGCAGGCGGAAGAACCTTGGCCTGATCTGAACCATCCTGAGCAGGGTCAGGGCTTCTCAGTGGGCTGGGTGCAGGGGCTGCCCTGGGGATGCCAAGCTGACTGTGATTTTGTCCTCTCGGCCTCGGCACAGCCACCAAGTGGCTGGTGGGCATGCAGCGGGCCTGTGCCATCATCCTGGAGCACCGCTGCTTCGCTGTGGGGACCATGTTCCTGAGAGGGCTGACCTACAGCCTCCCACACTGGCAGCGGCTGTTTCTGGTGGGCAGGGCCCTCGTGTTCCCTCTCACCTCCTACGTCTGGTGAGCCAACTGCATGGGGCATGCCCAGGGTGGGTCTGCTGGACTGGAGACTGGGGGGTCTGCAGGGTCCCGGGGGGCGTGGCTGGCATTTTTCCTGGGACAAAGTGCATGCAGAGGAGGGGAAAGAGCACCACTCAGCCCCTCAGAGGAGACCCTCAGGGCCACATCACACAGCCAGCCAGCTAGGTGCTGAAAGGCAACTGTTGTTCAAGGATGGGGGGTGGTCAGGGCTGGAGGCAAGACAGGTGATGGGGGTGGGACTCTAGCATGTAGCTGGGAGGTAGGGTGCCATGGTTTCACCTTAAAACATTTCTTAAAAATGTTACTGCTCCAATTGGTGCACACGGTTAAAAACTAAGTAGCACTGAAAGGTTTTCAATGAAAAGTAAGTTGTCCTTTTCAGCTCCCCTGCACCTGGGGCCTCGCCCAGAAGCCAGCACACCGGGGGGGATCTTGCACCATTCTTCTGGGGGTGCCTGCGTTGTTCTCCATGCTGCCAGCAGGTAGCTTATTGAATGGGGCACGTTTTCTTCAGCCACCACCTTCAGGCCCCTCCTGCTGGCTGTGCCCTGACTCTTGACAGTTTCCTAGGAGGGATCCATCTCTTTCTAGTCATTCTTAGTGTAAGAAAAAAAAATCTTGTTTTGATGATTAAGACGTCTTTTCAGACATTAAAAAATCTAGTCCAGTCCAGTTTAAAACTGATCTTACACCCAGTGCATGGTTTCTCCCTGTGGTTGGCTCGAGAGTGGCCCAAGGGGCTGAGGTCTGCTCTCAGCTTTGCTCTTCCCCCTCTGTCTCCCTCCTCTGATCTTCCAAGCTAGGCAGGAGGTGAGAAGTAACAAGATGTGGGTGACAGGGCTGTTGTGATGATCCAGTCCTTGTAGGGCAGAAGTCCAAATGCCGGGGCCTCAGGGGCCTGTCTGTGGGTCCTGGGAGTGCTGGCATTTCCTAGGGCTGCAGGTGCTCTCTTTGTGGCCTCCCCAGGCCTCTACCTCTGGTAGTTCACCCCACAGCCTCTCTCTGCTGATGGCTCCTCAGCCTAGCACACGGGGTGCCTTTAAGACCACAGGGTCCACTTGACTGAAAAACTCAGCATCCTCTGTTCCCCAACTTGCCATTGTGGGCAGCTCCCACCAACCCCCTTCCTGATCATACTGGGTGAGGGAGGGGCTTCAGGCTCCAGGTTCATGTAGACCCCCCATTCTGGAGGCACATCTGAACCCTCCCCAGCCCTGTGCCATCTGGAGCACCAGGCAAGCCCTCCTGTTTCTGAATCAGCACGTTCCAGCCTGAAATGGGAGGGCAGGCACGCCTTCTCCCAGGCAGTCCCCTTCCACCAGGCTTGAGTGGGCCAGAGAGATGAGCTAGGGGAAGGGATTCAACACCTCTCACTTCCCTGACCTGGAAAGGCTGGGGAGCTCTCGTGCATTTTGGTAAGCCCCACCCTGAATGGATAACACCCCTCTTTAGAGAATGAGATTGTCACCAGCTTGGGGGCTTCAGTGGAAATTCCAGGGCAAAACGTTTCCATTCATTCATGCTTCTCTTCATTATGCTCTGATCTTTTTCTTCTCAATAGTGTTTGGAGCTTGTTTTATGAAAATAAAGTTGCAAAATATTCCCCAATGTCTTGGAGGATACAAGTTTGAGGTTTCTTTTTTTCTCTCCTGCTTCCTGCATCACCTTGGTCCTCTGCGGTCATATTTTCCCTGATAATTATTTTGAACCCCTTTTTGTTTGGGAGGTTTTCTTTAATGTTTGGTGACCTTGGCCATCCCTTCATATCTAGGAGCAAGTTATTTAAGAGGCAACGGGAAGCTGTGTGAGCAGGCGCTGATTGCCTGGTGATCCTCTAGGCAGTGGATCTCTCTATGCAAGCATCGGAATCATGTGGAGGCTTGTTCAAACGGGGGGACAGCCCTGCACCAGAGCTTCTCCATCAGCCCATCAGCAGTCTGGGGTGGGGCCTGAGAAACCTGCCTTTATAACAAGTTGCCAGGTGACGCTGATGACGTGGGTCCCCTGACCACACTTTGAGAACCACTACAACTGGGTGATCAATTGGCAGTGCCTTTTTCCTGAGGATCCCCAAGCGAGGTGGTTGCTCTTGAGGGGGCTGGGAGCTGGAGTTCCCCTCATCCCTGTGGTTACCCTCAGCCTTGCCCCTCTGTTGATGCAGCTTCACTTCCTCCTCCCTGTGCTCCAGGTGCAAACTGCACAGTGACCTGAGTCCTGTGCCTGACTGGGGGTCCAGGGTTCCCCACAGCCAGGGGGAAGGTCTGTGCTAGGAATGTGCTCAGTGCCATACATGTATCAGCTGGTTTAGTTCTGGCCCAGCCCTGGACCTGGTATGATTACCTCCAATTTCATTCCCTGTCTCAGGGAGGAAGGGCTTGCCCAAGGTCACAGAGGTCAGCTCCCACAGAGCAAGGGGAACTCCATAAGGCTCTCTTTACACAGCTATGCCACCAGTGTAATTCAAAGGCAGTGGGTGGTGATGTGGTGGGGACAGAGATGGGACAGCAGAGGCAGCTGGACCTGTGCCCCCCACCCCAACTCTCTGGGCCACTAGGAGATAGAGAGGGGACCAGATAAATCCTGACCAGGAGGATGGGCTCTAACAGAGGCTGTGGCACAGAGGACAGTGACCTCAGAGCGCTTAGGCGGGTGGCACAACCCCTGACTGAGACAGACAAGACAGATTCTGAAAGGGAAGGAGCTGTAGGGCAGAGGCAGCAAGTGT